GGCGGATACAGAACTAAAAATAAAAACCCCACACGTCAATGTGGGGAACAAGGCGTTGGAGTGTGGTATACAAATAACGTTTTAGGCGACTGCATCCTACACAAACAGAAGGTTAGGGATGACACTGTACATTGGGCGTTCAGTTGCCTCAGCATTGCCGGTACACAAGGGTCACTCCATCTCCTTGGATGTGCATCCAAGATCTTGAAGAAAAAGCAGCTGGGTCACAACCAGGGCTAAAGCCACTATAGCCTACTTACCACGCCACCAAGTACCCTAACAGAGGCTTACCCATGGAAACAAGGAATCATTTGGCAAACCTAAGGCTCTGAGAGGAAGCATCACCTGATGCACGCGGTGGTCATCCAAAAGGCCCTGGTTCAATGCTTGAGCGCCCAAGCCATTCAAGCTGAGATCCTTCCCAGACAACTCCTCACCCTTGTACATGACGTTGTCCACGACCAGGAGGCTCTCTACCTTTAGCAAGTTCGTGTCCATAAGCATCTGATAGAGGGCAAAATAACCTGACAGCCAAGTCGCAACTTTACACATGCGTCACATTTTGTTTTTTCCCAAAAGCATCTCCGATGCTTGGGTTCTCGTTTAGTTGCCTTTGCCGCGAAGGGAGCGATATGGAAGTGACGGCAGGGTGGACGGAGGGGAAACCGTGGGAAATAGCTTGGGGAGAGCTCCGTTGGGAAGGGGAAGCCGTGGGAAATAGCTTGGGGAGAGCTCTGTTGGGAAGGAGCGAGATGGAAGCACGACAGGGTGGACGGACGGGAAACAGTGGGAAAGAGCTTGGGGAGAGCTCCGTTGGGAAGGAGCGACTTACTGAGAAGCAGAGCTGTTGGCACGGGTTTTCAGGACAAATTTCATTTCCAAACCCTGGGCCATGGGACATGCATAGCTTCGTTGGCAGGGAGCGCGACTAAAAAAGCAGAGCTGTTGGCACGGATTTTTCAGGACAAACCCGAAAAACTGGTGCCAAAGACTTCTCAAACGGTGTCTAAACGCTGGGCAAAGGGGCATGCCGGACATGCATGGGAAATCAATTCTTTGGAGGGGTTTTCATTTTGCTCGGCGTTCTGTCCGTCGATGCTAGGTTTTCGCTCCCTTTGCAGCGAAGCAAACTAAACTTAAACGACAACCCACGCATAGGATATGCATCAGCGTGAACGGACAGGTGGGGAAATAGCTTGGGAAGAGCTCTGCTGGGAGGGAGCCGCGCTGAAAATGCGGAGCTGTTGGCACGGGTTTTACACAGAGCAGCTTTTACACCGAGGAGCTTTTCACAGAGGAGCTTTACACGGAGGATCTTTTACACAGAGAAGCTTGTACACAGGGAGGACTTTACACACAGAATCTTTTACACAGAGAACTTTTACATAGGAAAGGTTTTGCACACAGAAGCTTTTACGCAGAGAAGTCTTTATACAGAGTAGTCTTGACACAGAGAAGCTTGCACACACAGAGGCGTTTACACAGAGAAACCTTTTACACAGGGCAGCTTTTTCACAGAGGAGTTTTTTCACAGAAAAGCTTGTACGCGCAGAGGCTTTGACACAGAGAAGTCTTTACACAGAGGAGTCTTTACACAGAGAAGTTTGTACACACAGAGGAGCTTTTACACACAGACGCTTCTACACAAAGAAACTTTTACACAGAGCAGCTTTTACACACAGAAACGTTTACACACAGAGGAGCTTTACACACTTACGATTTTAAACACAGAAGCTTTTACACGGGAAAGCCTTTACACAGAGAATTGCACACAGAAGTTTTTACACAAAAACACGTTTACACAGAAACTTTTACGCACAGAAGCTTTTGACGCGTTTACACAGGAGTGTTTACACACGGATGCGTTTACACACAGAAGCCTCCACGCACAGAAGCTTTTACGCAGAGTAGCTTTTACACAGAGAAGTCTTTACACAGAGGAGCTTTTACACAGAGAAGTCTTTACACAGAGGAGCTTTTACACAGAGAAGTCCTTCATACACAAAGGAGATTTACACACAGAAACCTTTACACACAAACGCGTTTACACACAGGAAGTTTCACACACAGGAAGTTTTACACACAGAAGCGTTTACGGCGCCCTGAACATTTTACACAGAGCAGCTTTTACACACAGAAGCTTTTACACAATTACTTTACTTCGAGTGACCCCCACCATGACATTTATACATTTTGTTACTGGAAAATCTTCTGACATATCTTCTGTCATATCTTCATGGTGAAGATCACGTAGATACCAGCCACTCCCCTTGCAAGCAAGCCATTGCGTTTTTTTTGGTCTGTGATGTTGCTAGCCGGTCTGCCGCTTCACTCCCGAATGTCACCTGGCGTCTAACAGATATGATCACTTGAATGAACCATCAAACATTTCAAAACATGCCGCTGTACCGCTGCAAACAAACATGCCAAGACATGTTGGAATCCACCTGCATCACTCATGTCCTGTCGCCTGCAGTGCAGATTGAAAAACAAACATGCCAAGACATGCCAAGACATGTCGGAGACCACCTGAATCACTCATGTCATGTCGGCTGCAGCACAGCTTGGAAAACAAACATGCCAGGACACTGTGGGAAACCATCAGAATCAGTCATGAAATGTGACCTGCAGATGAGGCTGGACAACAAAGATGCCAAGACATACCGGGCCACCACCTGATTCAAGACCGAGCTTCTGATGTTACACTGTGCTGCTCTCGAAACCGACACAGCTTTCCCACTATCACAATAGGCGCTGCCACAGGCCGTCTTTCCCGTGGCACAATCGCCGGCTGTCTCTGCAAGTCTCTGGACCTCGATCTCTCAAACTCCGCAGAAGCCCTCATCTCCACCGAACCCTGTGAGGCTTGCAACTCCTGAGGCCCTTGCCTCTCCCGAGACACCGACAGAGTTCGTTGTGGTGCCAGGCTTGGAGCATAGTCAGGAGACAATAACTCCAAAGACATTCCTGGGATTGTGCTCATCTGAGAAGCAGCTACTGGTGCCGGTGAGGTGCCCATTGTGTCTTGCATATCTCGCAACCAAAGCGGTACAGCTTCACGCCGTACCACCACTCGAGGAGGCGAAACACTGTCCATGACCTGTGAACCCATGTGCACCGGTGTACCTCCCTGAGGTTGGGGATCCTGAACCGAGGTTGATCCAGGGACGCATGGCTTCCAACCCGCTGCTGGGTGCTTTGATGCAAAGAGCTAGTGAACAAGTGATGATATGCAGATAATCCTCACAGCTAAGAGATGGAAGCAACATCTCACTTGCAAATACTCGAGTGGCCTAGTCTGAGACCCGGACTTGATCTCGAAGAGATCTGGACTCCTTTTCTCAGGCAACGTGTGCAGCTACAAACAGACACTTTCGAAAGGCCGTGTTTTAACATGTCATCGAGAGATGGATATGTCAAGACATGTCAAGATACGCAACTGATATCAACTGATCACAACTGCAGGCTTTGCTGCGTCGTGTTACAACATTCTGCCCAGAGTCCGACCAAAAGGGAAACGGATGAAGATCGAAGCTATCGCCGGCAGAAAATGACGACACCGTGGCTAAGGAGAGCCTAGGCACGGGAAGTGACACAGAAAGTGACCGGAGGGCATGGAAGCTTCTTTTCCGAAGCAAAACAAAACTGAAGATAAACTCATCCTGTGAAGGTAAATCGAGGATTTATTTTTGGACGCGTTGTGGCCAGCTTTTCGTGTTGCGTTCTCAAAACCAGTGCCGAATGGCCGAATGTATATTTTCCATTGCCAAATCATTCTGTTCAATTTCTGCACCTTCTGCACTGCCTCTGCCTCAGCTCCCTTGTGGCTTTGTTCCATCATGTTCCATCTTCATTGAATCTTCCTGATCTTCTTTCCATTTCTTTCTTTGGATTTCCAGATGATTGCCTGTAGCACACGGTTAAAGAGCACCCTATCTGTTTCATCCTGAATTCATGAACAAGTTGAGTAGAACCTCAGTAAACATGTGTTGCATCTGGCTGATGGGTACCAGGTATGCTGAGGGGTAACAGGTATGTATGCTTCTGGATAGTTTGTTTTCAAAACTATCCAACTTGACTGAGTATACTCAGGGTTTATCAAGCAAGTATACAGTATACAGCATACACTACTTTAATTTCTGGTGTTTGGTCATCGGTCCATACAAAACAGTGGGAGGGCTCACATCAAGCAACAGGTGGGAGCTGATATCCGATGGCCGGGTGCCAATGGCATACTGCATGGTGATGAGATAGCCAGTCCTTGGGCGCAAGACTCTGTGCAGTTTCTTACTTCGCTTACCGATCCTTGAAATAAGGAGCAGAAGTGACAAAAGTGAGAATAAAAAAAGAATCTTTAAAGAGCGCTTTCAATTTTTCCCCTCTCTTCGCACTCTTCGTGCCAATCTTGCTGTTTCCCACTCAGAAAAGAAAGCTGCCGAGTGATGGGCTTGGGCAGCCAATTCACGCATGTTGACCCGAGAAACACATCAATTCGGAGCAACTGACGTCTTACGCCCAATCTCCACTGTCGTTTGTGCGCTTTCCCGAACCCAAAGTGAACCGTCACTTCATCTGCTCGCCGCGGCTCCAAAATATCAAGGGACACCTGCCATGCTTGGAGAATGCTGATGGTGGATCCAAATGCCAGTTGGGCGGTCAACATGGTCAACGTGTCTCCCACGCATGAATTTGACCTGTTTTTTGAAGTGAGTAGATTCAATGCCATCGAAATAGGTTTGTTTCAAAGCTTGCATTGCCAGTCTATTTCGCGACCAAAGCTCTTAACCCCACCTCTGCCTTGCTGATATGGCTTGAAGGGCCAAGTCTGCCATTGCCTTGCCAACTGGATCCAACTGAATCCAACTTGATCCAGCTTGCCACCAGTTCTCACCCTTTGCTGTAAACACAGTCAAATGAGTCAAATGAGTCAAATGAGTCAAATGAGTCAAATGAGTCAAATGAGTCAAATGAGTCAAATGAACAAGTCAAATATAGTCAAAATGCACCTCACCTCGGCGCCAGTCTGTGAGATATCTAGGCAAACACCAGGGCCGAACTCGAAAGTACTCTCGGTCTCGCCTGGGCCAGAAGTCAAATCCTTATCTGATCCTATCTGTTTCTCAGTTTGGTCCGCTGTGAAGAGATACAATCTTGTCCGCATGTGAGGAGGTCGCGTAGGCTTGAGGTTTTCACATATCCTTTTGAGTGGGCATGCCATCAACAACCAAGGAACCCATGAACAAATCAACAACCATCCGACCAGGCAACCAACAAATGAGAAATGAAGCGTGAACATGTATACACAAAGAAACATAGAACATGCAAATTGTGTGAGCATGCAATCACATCATGTCACACACGCTCGCATGGGCATTTGATCTCCCGCTGCAGTTCTTCACCCATGTCGTGCCTTGCAAATGTCCATCTGCTGCTACACGCGAGTCACGTGCACCAGGGCACAAACGGCAACTTTGATTCAACAAGTCCTCAGATGAAAAGAACGGTTAAAGAAAACCATAACATCTGGAACATTCTGATCACTTGTGCACACAAGATATTCCAATGGATTTATGCTCTTGAAAGAACAGCATCATTGCACAACCATGGCACTGCAGGCGACACACTCGGATGCAAAGTGCTTTTGCCATTACCCACAGTTGACAGTCAGTTCCAACCGAGAAGCTTGAGAGATCTTTGCAAGGCCCTCTGACAGGCACTCCTTCATAAAAACGAAGCTACCGGTGCGTTGTCTTGCTCATGCACCACCACGGATAGAATATTTACATACAGTATATAATAAGTTCAAAATATTGAAATTCACCAAGTACTCACTACACTCTCAGAAGAAAAAACGAATACAAACAAGTCAAACACTGCATAAATCTTATACTGGCTTTGAGCTTCGCTGCATTGGTTTGCTGTGGAGAGCAGGTGATGCAGAGCAAAATGACCGCAAGTTACGAGTACTGCTTCTTGAAGGACTTACAACAAGCACTTACGGGGGGAAGAGCCTAACTTGCGCCAAACGTAGGTGCAAACCGGCGCAAGCAAGCCAAACACGCAGGCACAAGCGAAGCAGTATACAGCAAAGTGTACAGTAGCAAAGTCTGACCTGTTCAATCTGATTTGAAAAAAATACAAAAACAGAAACTTGACCAAGTTGAATTCAACTACCTCTCTACCATCGACCCAATCTTTAGCTCCTTTGGCAAAGCCTCTTCAGTGCATCGCCCGACATGGGACACCATAGCACCATGGCAAAACAGCGCAATCCACTGACTTGTGGCGGCAACAAGAACCTTTCCTGTCCAGAATCTTACAATACAGTATCACTCGTATCACTAGTATCATATATATATATGTATGTATGCTTGTATAATATTATGTGCAGTTGTAGGGTGCTTTGCTATAATTCATGAATCCGTCTATGCTCAGAAGTAGAGGATGGTGGAAGGAAGTCATCTTCAGACAGGACAAAGTCAATGTCCAGCCAATGTGGTCCTCTAGGGATATACGGTTCTAGGGTTCTACGGTTCTAAGAGGCTCCGCTTCGAGCAGAGCCAAAGCTCCGGACGGATTTAAACAACGGAAAGCTCCAGCCAAGCGAATTGATTCACAGAGTGCCCCAAAACGTTACGGTACCGTTCATCTGATACCTCTTGCTACGGTACCTCGGCAACTGCATCACTTGAGAACTTGCGAGAGGGAAAGAAAAACAGCCAGGCTACAGGTGGGGGGTTGTGGCATGCTACTGTGTTACTGAAAAACATATGGCATGTTGTTGAAGCATGGATGTGCTGAACATTCCAGGAGTCCTATATGAGCCACTCTGAATCATTAATACATCTAATAAACACTTTGTGAGGCAGTCTCACATGCCAAAGACACCGATCGACCATTGCGCATTGCACGCTGTCAACCTCGACGGGCGAGTTGGACAATGCCTTCAGGCAGCTGATCCAAAAATTGTTGGAGAATGAATGAAAATAATGAAATAATGAATGGAATAATGGACATATTTGAAGAATTTTGAAGATGCGAAACGACCTCGGCCTAGTAATATTCATTGATTTGTATCTCCACACGTTCTATGTTGTCAGAAGGTCGCTGAGGACGATCTCGCAGCACTTCCACTGGTCAACCCTGCCTTGAAAGCATTGACAAACCGCTGCTTGGCACTTTCATCCAGCAGAATGGCCTCAAAGCAAAGCACGACGAGAGCAAAGCACCCCTTCTGCAAGTGCAAACAAGAAAGAAATCAAGTTGCAAGAGGTTGCAAGCATTTCTTATCACCTCTTGTGCAGAGTTGTGCAGAGTCATGCCATTGCTTTGACAGAGCTCATGCATCATTTAAGTGTACCACATGTGTAAAGGTGGCCAAATGACAAGCATGAACAACACTGTGCGCGAGAAGTCCTTATTGAAGTTACACTGAATAAGATCTCTCCCTCTCTCTCTCTTTCTCTTTCTCTTTCTCTGTCAGCCTGGATTGCTGCTGTAATGGTGTGACGCTCTTTGGCATCAGCACAAAGCACCACAAAATCTGCCTGGCAGCAAAGCTCGATTGTGGAATCTACGTCTGCAATCACGTGGAGGAGTAGATTACTGCGCAACTCTCCTGCACATTCCTGCGCTTAGAATGAAAACAGCTGTATTGTGATAGCGCCTTTCCGTTGTGGCAGTAAGATACAGTAAGACTAAGGTGATGTACAACGGAGCAATTGCTTTATGTTCACTTTGCAATGCAAAGAATCTGTTGGCAACGGGCTTCCAAACCTGCCCCTTGCATTGCTGAGTTGAGTGGCTGTCCCCCCTTCGTTGGCTGACATATTTTGAAAGAGGCGGTTGGCGGTTTTCATAAATAGGAAATAAACAATAAACAGTCTCTAAAAGTGGGAGCGCTCTGCAGACGTGCTGAGTTTGGATTTAGCAGGGTGAGCATGCTGACGAATACAAAAGGGACAAGAAAGGTACATCTCGGAGATAAGTGGGAGTCAAATGGGAGGTAAGTGGGGAACAAGCGGGAATACCGTGGCAAGTATGACCCTTTGGTTAAATCCACATTGTTCTTGCTCGCTACGCCATCACGCAAGTACTCAATGAGTCAACTGCGACAATCAATTGAGTAAGTTCTCCACACATGTCCAAATGTGCTTCAGACATTTGCAAACAACGGGAGACAATTCTTTGTCAGCTCTTGTCATGCTCCAACTGGAATGTCTGACATTTGACCAGACCTGCACTTCGCCCGTCAAGTGCTGCATGCTGATTAACCGGCGTGACCGGAGCGAAGGCGTAAAACTCACTTGGCTCTGGTCGCCTCAGACGGATGTCATCTGAGACCAGGTTCGAAACCAAATCCTACAGAATTTCCATGAAAATCTAAAAAAGTTGCTAGATTGCAAGTTCAAAGATGTTCAAAGTTCAAAGCAATCATTTGGGGGTGCGGCGAGGCAGCAATACTTTGGCTGCTCGGAGCGCCAGAACCTTCACCTTGGCAAGAAATTCAAGATGAATTGATTGAATTGAGGAGCTTTCGAACATGGAGATGTGATGAATGCGTGGGTGATTATTGTGATCGCTGGGTCAAAACCTTGAACATCAAATGTCTTTTAGCAAGGAACCCAAAGACATTGCCTGACTTGCCAATGTAGGGGACTAAACCAGTCACACACCAGTCACACATCAGGTTGTGTTGGAGAGATCAAGGCAATCAAGGCAAGGGATTGGCACAAAGCGGGTACCGGGTAGAGGGACTTCTGCCCCCGGTCAAAAGTTGAAACGGTGAAAACTTCTGATAACAAAATCACCAAAATGACTTTCGCAGGGAACAAAAACTGTTTGCTGCAACGTTTGCTGATAACAAAATGATTGCTGCATCCCAGGACCCTGGGAACCCAAGTTTGTTGATAGATTTTGGCGGTGGGTGTTGCGGGAATTGTTGAAATCTATCAGGTCTTGTATTGCAAGAGGCGTCCTATCTTTCCAATTCATCTGTCAAGTTTTTCTCATAGTGCTCATTTTCTAGCATCGCATTCGTTGAGCCATCATGTTTGCATCACCACAAATCGTTTCCCATCTGCTCATGTCCCAACAAAGCCTTGCCAGTCTGCACTTCCAGCATGGAGGAAAGGCTTGCCTCCAAAATGCGCAAGATCTGCAACAAAAGAAAAACAGGCAGAAGGATCGGCAAGAATCGACACAGAATCAAAACGTTGGACATTGGATCTGAGTTGGCCATGTAAGGTGAAACATGAAGACTCCAAAGATCTCCAAAGGATCTAAACAGCATCAGCTCAAGTTTTGGCGTCTCCGCTCAGGAGCGGTTTCATATGGTTTCATGGGTTTGAACTGCTTTGAAGAATTTCGGGGATCAGCAAGACCTTGTACCAGCTGAGTTGTGAGAATGCTGTGCAGGAATTGATCTTGCAGCTCCAAACCCAAAGTCGCACAGCCAGTCACAACAAATGTTCAACTTCCAGTTCTGTTACAGCTGGACTCGGTGGTTTGAAGACTTGCTGCCTGCAAAGCCTGCGTTTTTGCCACAGAACTCATGCCCAGGACCTCATCATGCGCATGAGCAAAAGTGTGCATCTGCATCCTGCAAGTGCCACGACACTTCAAGCATCACAAATCATCACAAAACATCACAAATCATCACAATACAAATGAAATGTCAATCTGTTGATGTGTACATGCGTACGCAACAGTATCAAAACAATGCAAACGCTGCAAACAAATGGAACGTGAAAAGACGGCAGCCTACTGTATCAGTGGTCGAGGATCTGCCTGCATATTTCTGCTGTGCTTTTAGTTCGCAACATCTTTTGGAGTTCAGTGTGCATCTTTGATCATCTTTGCATGTAAACTTGACGCGCTGATCCATGCTTCCTACATGAAGCACCGCTATCACTTCCTCTTCAGGCTCAAAGCCCGGAACTTGGAAGGTTCATGATTGTTTTTGTATCTTTTTGTCGTGAGTTTTATTTGAATTGTAGTTGGAGTTGGGCTGGATTGGCACAAGGTGTGTTTGGGTGCTCTTGGTATTGCGAGAGACGGGCTCGCATTCTGTGGCGCGCAGTGGTAACCACATCTGATCAGCATCTGGTGAGCCTAATGTGACACTCTGACATGGCATTGCTGAGGACTCATCTGCCTGAGGTGTTGAAGCAAAGCTAATCGTTGCCTGTTGCAAACAGCCACATGTGGATTTTCAACAAATACATTTTGAACCGTTTTGCATACATGATTCCCACCTTGGAAAAGGGGTCTTTGAGAAATTTCAACCATGTCGACGAAAAGGATTAAGGGAATTAAGGGTTCGAGAATGGAATCATATTTCGACTTTCGTTGAGCCAGTTGAGCCTTACCTGTTTAACCAGAACTGTATTCTTCGCCGCACCGGCACTGCCGGCACTGCCGGCACTGCCTCGATGCCATCAGGTTGATCGCCATCTTTTTCAGGCGACTCCGGCAATTGCCCTTCTGGAAGAAACCACATGGGCTCCCTTGGTGCAACACTTGACATACTGGCCAAGTTATCATGAGTATTCATAAGTTATCCAAGTTCTTGTCACAACATCTTGGAACTTTGTTTCGGTCTGAAAGGAAAAAGAATGGAACATTCCTGAACCTTGCGCGAACGAGTATTTGCTTGTATCGGATTGGGAGGATCCTGAAACCGAGCACATGTTTGATTCAGTTTGGTCACTTGACAGATCTTGACACCTAAGACAGCTAAGTCAGGGACATGGTTGTGGGCAACCCAGCCGGCAAAGTCGTAGCTGTAGTGGTGATGGTGAACGTTGTCACTGTCACAGTTGTTGCAGTGGTAAAGGTTTGAGTCGTGACCTGGGTATCAAAACGAGACTGTCAAATCTGCCAACAAGGCCGAGAAATTAACAGGAAAACCAAAAGAAAAAAGAGAAATAAAACTGTCTTCAGTGTTTCCCTCATATTGTCTTTGCAAATTTTGATGCCAAAGAAAACATGTTTTTTTTGGTAGCAATTCTAGAATACATAACGTGAATCACTTTACTTGACGTCTCAAGGCTAAATCTACTACTGTAATGCGAAGCAAACACAAGAAAATCGATGTAAAGTGCGATGAATGAATATCTGAATATATCTGAATAATTAGCAAACTTGGGCCGACTCCAGACTGTAGGCTCCGGCTGTGCTAGATGGAGGAATCGTTGCCTCTTCCAGAGGCACAAAAGGGGGTCAAAAGCGAAAGTCACTGAAAGTACATGAAAGTACCTTCTACATCCTGGTACAGTTGATATAGTGTTTGTATGGGTTACAGTGGCCTACACACTTGCAAACATCCTATTCTGCTTCTGCAATATCTTGGCGGCAGCTGCTGCTGGTCCCACTGTGGTACTACCAAATCTGCTGTAATAAGCAGATTCCCGATTTCACCAATTCCCACATAATGGGAATCTGCTTATTACAGGTCTGATTTAAGGGTACCCCATTCTAGCAGATCCTTATTTGAGCGTTTTTGAGTGTTTTGGGGGTGTGATAAGCAGATGAAAATCTGCTTATAACCTGTCCGCGACTATATACTATAGGTCCATACAACCGTTTTCGCAAGATAACATGCGTATCCATGCGTACTATGTCCACATCCAGGGCAGCTACATGCACTTCTTCTCCCCCCACACTCCAAAAAATAGCTACGACCACTGGCGCCACCACTGCCACTACCAGCACAACTACTATCATCTATCAAGGAAACCCCAAGAACAGGTCACATGTCGCATGCTTGTGACAACAAGTCCCTCGAAAAAGTAGGTAGAACTCTTCCAGGGGTGATACCTGCGTGTATATCAGGACAATGCAATGAAGAAAGTATAGATTGCATGGAGATACTGTGTGCAGAAACTTGAAGTGGAGTTCACCAAATGTTCATTGCTTTTTCAGCCCGTCGTAACATGATCAGCAGGGCGTCAAAAATGTGTCATGCTTGCATCATGTGTGTCACTGATCCATGATGTCGCGCTTGTGATCCTTGATGCTCTTGCCTCATCAGAGTCATCGCCCCAAATGATCGTATTGCTCCATGCCTCCGTGACGAAACAAAGGGACCAAGGAAAAGAACACAAACGATGGATTTTGATGGATCTTGATGGATCTTGGACCTGGTGGATGGTGGGTCTTGGTCGCTTTGTCAGAAGTGACTAGTCGGTGGCTCAGCCGTCATTTGGCCACACGGCCGTTCCACAAGGCCGCTTCGCAAGACTTCATACGTTAGAATATGAATATCTCAGATATCTTTACATTTGACATCATTTCACATCATTTCACATCATTTCACCATCTGCAACGGCACTGGCGGTCACCGGTCTTGGATCCCTGACACTGTGGGCTGCTTCACCCGACACCTGTACCACATGGGGCAAGTGCAAGCTTGAAGTCACTCTCAGAATCACTGTCGAGAAGAGACACTATTACAATCAATGCAAACCATTGCAAAAACCATTGCAAAAACCATTGCAAAAACCATTGCAAAAACCATTGCAAAAACCATTGCAAAAACCATTGCAAAAACCATTGCAAAAACCATTGCAAAAACCATTGCAAAAACCATTGCAAAAACCATTGCAAAACCCATTGCAAAAACCATTGCAAAAACCATTGCAAAAACCATTGCAAAAACCATTGCAAAAACCATTGCAAAAACCATTGCAAAAACCATTGCAAAAACCATTGCAAAAACCATTGCAAAAACCATTGCAAAAACCATTGCAAAAACCATTGCAAAAACCATTGCAAAAACCGTTGCAAAAACCGTTGCAAACTGCGAACTCAGGAAGCTAAATTGGCAATGCATCCTGTGGCAAACTCTGTGACTCGCCTCAGAATATTGCAAAGCTCTCACCCTGGCGTAAGCAAAGGCTTCCACCTGTTGTGGGCAAAGTGAGACGATTGCACTCCCAGCCTTGATCTCTCTCTGTTCCATACAAGGGTATACAAATGCACACAATCACATAATATGAATTGACTTACAAAATCTTACAAAGGTTATAAGCGGGCGTTTCTATTTCGTATCATTTCAATCCAATGATTCCAATGGTTGCATGCTGAGCTGGAGTTCGGTTTCCACTGCCTCGGGCAAGGCTAGCTCGGTGTCTCGAACAATCTGGGTCTGGTAGTTTGCGAAGCTGGGGACCTCGCAGTTGAATCGACACTTCGACCCATGAAGTTGTCCCCGTTGTTCCTGTGTTTCTTGTGACGTTTTTTGAGGTCTTCTTGAAAGTGACGAGTCGACGATCCGGAGCTGGGCATCTGATGGGTTGAACAGACCGAAGCATCGCAACAAGGTCGATGTGAAAAATGACACGAGGGGGCTTACAGCCCTTCTACATATGCATAGCTTCATCAAGCACTAGTTGATGTATGTTGCTGCATGTTTCCGTACTTTCGACTACGCGACTCCAAGTCGTATCTGATTTCAAACGGCCCAATGGCCTTAAGCTGAAAGTGCTCTGACATGGATCTTGACATGGCCGACAAAAAAAACAGCCATGAGAACCGTGAAGTAGCAAGGCCCAGCCATGTCTGGCTACCCACTTTTTATCTGTTTGATCTATTTGATGTGCAGCTGACCTGCAACTGATCTGCTTCCGATTGTGCTGATGCCTGCAGCCTTCTGCATCTGAACCGTTCCTTTATTGCAACCAAGCTGCGTTTGAGAACCAAACCTCGAAGCAAGGAGTTCTGCAGCGAACCTCCTGATGTTGCAATTTGCGTCCATAGTTTCACGCTTTTCTTCAGTCTCGTAGAGTCTTGTCCGAAAACGGCAAGAAATGCGAGGTGACATGTTTTTGCTAGCGGGTGGAAAACCGCGCGTGTAGTCGTGTTACTTTTTGAATATGGGGTTTGGGTGGGGTGGGGTGGGATAATAACGTTCATGTGACTTGCGTACACACGTGATGCTACGCTGCTGCTACGTCAGTGGTTGGGGGTTGGGTGGGGTGGAGTGGGATAATAATGTTCATGTGACTTGCGTACACACGTGATGCTACGCTGCTACGTCAGTGATTGGGGGTTGGGTGGTGCGGGGTGGGATAATAACGTTCATGTGACTTGCGTACACACGTGATGCTTTGAAATGTGTGCTCACGACCCACAAGCATGGTCGCAAAAACATCTTGGTGACAGACGGTGCCCCATGCTACCCTAAACTCACCTCTGAAAATAATATGATTCATGAATCTTGCAATCATAGTAAGGGCATCTTTTGCATCAAGAAGAGAAAGAAATGGGGTACCTTGCTTGTGCACACCAGTGGTATCGATATGTATCGATGGTATGAGGAAACTTTCCAAAGGTGCAGTATCAAGTTCTTGGAGTGCACGCAAAGGTGGTGCTGTTAACCCTCAGTTGCTTCAAGGAATTCGAATTTGGCAACGGCGATGGCACCATGGAAATTACAAAGACTTCCTCAGTCTCACCGGCCACGCTCTAAGCAAACGCTTGGAGAAGTAAGACGTCCAAAGCAGAAGTAAAAAGCGAACACCATCCCAGAAGCACAAAACTCTGCAAATACCACATCGTTCCTTCAAAGCCACTTAATTTCCCCCGGGAAAATTCAAGGTAATGTTGATCTAAAAATGTGTACGGCGCCACAGCGCCAGAAGAGTTGTTTTTTTCAAAAAGTGCTTATACTACATAACCGCTAGCGCGGTTTCCCACCCGCCGGGATGTTTTTTATGAGGCCTTTCTTTTGTGAGCTGTTGGTGAGTTGCGTGTCCATCAATCTGCCAGAGGAAGGATCCACAAAAGTTGTCGCTCCATCTCGATGGTGCCAACTGTCTCTTTGCCATGCGTAGGTGGCACGGTCCAATGCAGTGTTTGCCCTTTTGTAGACGCCTGCGAAGCTTTCTGCAAAACTTTCAATCCCCGTGGAGAATCAAAAGTCTGCAACAATGTGCAACAATCACAACCAAGATGCCATATAATCCATATGCGTAAGGGTGATGTAGGGCCGAGCCATTTGCCATTCTTTTTGTTTGTTTCTTTACTTCTTGCCGCTTGTCATGTCCTTTTGTCTTTCTGCTCTCTGATTTTTCCCGGTATGTCTAGTCTGGCCACAAAATCCTGGCTGCCATGTTGTCTACCATGTCATGACGCATGCTTCTAGCACGCCCATCACACCAAACCAAACAGGTAGTTTGTCCATTTGATCAGCCAAGACAGGTGCAGATAGGTGCAGATAGGTGCAGATAGGTGCAGATAGGTGCAGATATTCAGAAGTTTAGAGCCGTTCAAGCTGCCCGGCCTTCACATCCGCTTTGCAGTACTCTGCCTGGACCAAGTCGCAGAGTGCGAAAGATATCCGGTCTCACGGTCTCAGGAGGTCTCAGGCCTTTTTTTCTCACCCTTTTACTCTTGCAGTTTGCAGCCCAAATTGTCCTTTTCACTCTTGCTATCTCTTGCTTTAGACTCTTGCTTGTCTAAAAGAAAATTGAAAAGAACATCTGATCAGCCTACAATATCTGATAGATTTATCTGGGATCCTGGCTGCTTTTCCGAACGGCCCGGCAGCCTGTGGGAACAGCGGAACTAACTATACCAAGAATGACGGTATCATCACCGTATCATCACGGTATCAATAGGATCGGTAGAAACATCTCTTGCAGATGGAAGGCTCTGTACAGCCTGCAACAACCTGCCAATGGATTGTATATATATAAATATATAAGGCCAGTATGATCAAGGGAAATCATCTGTTTTTTCTTCTCAAATGGTCCATCCTGAGCTCTTAAATGTCTTGCCAATCACAGCAAAAGTCAAATCTCAAACACTAGCTGGTATTTCTAGGTTTTGGTTCCGCATTCTATTTGTCTTCTGTTTCTTTTGCAGTCTTGTGGCACTATTTGCTATCTGCAGCATCAAGAATGTCTGGCGTCTGCCTCCGGGTTGCAAAAACTGCAGGCTCTGCAAACGGTGTTGCAAGCTCAACATGCAATAGATTTCTCCATTCACAGCTTTCTCTTCCGAAGAGTTCTTGTCTCGACTCCAATTCATTGTTTAAATTTTCCCCCCCAAGCCCAACATGCAATAGTATTTCTGGATTCACAGCTTTCTCCTCACAAAAATTCTTGTCACGATTCCAATTCATTGTTTAAACTTCCCCCCCCAAAGCTCAACATGCAATAGTATTTCTCGATGCACAGCTTTCTCTTTCGAAGAGTTCTTGTTTCGACTCGAATTCCTTGTTTAAATTTCCCCCCCAAGCCCAACATGCAATAGCATTTCTGGATTCACAGCTTTCTCCTCACAAAAATTCTTGTCACGATTCCAATTCATTGTTTAAACTTCCCCCCCCAAAGCTCAACATGCAATAGATTTCTCCATTCACAGCTTTCTCTTCCGAAAAGTTCTTGTTTCGAGTCCAATTCATTGTTAAAATTTCCCGCCCAAGCCCAACATGCAATAGTATTTCTCGATGCACAGTTTTCTCTGCTGAAGAGTTCTTGTCTCGACTCCAATTCATTGTTTAAATTTCCCCCCCCCAAAGCTCAACATGCAATAGATTTATCCATTCACAGCTTGCTCTTCCGAAGAGTTCTTGTCTCGATTCCAATATTGTTTAAATTCCCCCCCCAAAGCCCAACATGCAATAGATTTCTCCATTCACAGCTTTCTCTTCCGAAGAGTTCTTGTTTCGACTCCAATTCATTGTTTAAATTCCCCCCACAAAGCCCAACATGCAATAGTATTTCTCGATTCACACCTTTCTCTGCTGAAGAGTTCTTGTCTCGACTCCAATTCATTGTTTAAATTTCCCCCCAAAGCTCAACATGCAATTGATTTCTCCATTCACAGCCTTCTCTTCCCAAGAGTTCTTGTCTCGATTCCAATTCATTGTTTAAACTTCCCCCCCAAAGCTCAAGATGCAATAGATTTCTCCATTCACAGCTTTCTCTTCCGAAGAGTTCTTGTTTCGACTCCAATTCATTGTTTAAATTTCCCCCCCAAAGCCCAACATGCAATAGTATTTCTCGATTCACACCTTTCTCTGCTGAAGAGTTCTTGTCTCGACTCCAATTCATTGTTTAAATTTCCCCCCAAAGCTCAACATGCAATTGATTTCTCCATTCACAGCTTTCTCTTCCGAAAAGTTCTTGTTTCGACTCCAATTCATTGTTTAAAATTTCCCCCCCCACGCCCAACATGCAATAGTATTTCTCGATGCACAGCTTTCTCTGCTGAAGAGTTCTTGCCACGAATCCAATTCATTGTTTAAACTTCCCCCCCCAAAGCCCAACATGCAATAGATTTTTCCATTCACAGCTTTCTCTTCCGAAGAGTTCTTGTTTCGAGTCCAATTCATTGTTTAATTTTCCCCCCCCAAGCCCAACATGCAATAGAATTTCTCGATGCACAGTTTTCTCTTCCGAAGAGTTCTTGTCTCGACTCCAATTCATTGTTTCAATTTCCCCCCCCCATTCACAGCTTTCTCTGCTGAAGAGTTCTTGCCACGATTCCAATTCATTGTTTAAACTTCCCCCCCCAAAGCTCAACATGCAATAGATTTCTCCATGCACAGCTTTCTCTTCCGAAAAGTTCTTGTCACGACTCCAATTCATTGTTTAAATTTCCACCCCCCAAGCCCAACATGCAATAGTATTTCTCGATGCATAGTTTTCTCTTCCGAAGAGTTCTTGTCTCGACTCCAATTCATTGTTTAAGTTTCCCTTTCAAAGCCCAACATGCAATTGATTTCTCCATTCACAGCTTGCTCTTCCGAAGAGTTCTTGTCTCGACTCCAATTCATTGTTTAAATTTCCCCCCCCAAAGCCCAACATGCAATAGATTTCTCCATTCACAGCTTTCTCTTCCGAAGAGTTCTTGTTTCGACTCCAATTCATTGTTTAAATTTCCCCCCCAAAGCCCAACATGCAATAGTATTTCTCGATTCACACCTTTCTCTGCTGAAGAGTTCTTGTCTCGACTCCAATTCATTGTTTAAATTTCCCCCCAAAGCTCAACATGTATATAATTGATTTCTCCATTCACAGCTTTCTTTTCCGAAAAGTTCTTGTTTCGACTCCAATTCATTGTTTAAATTTCCCCCCCAAACCCAACATGCAATAGTATTTCTCGATGCACAGCTTTCTCTGCTGAAGAGTTCTTGCCACGATTCCAATTCATTGTTTAAACTTCCCCCCCCCAAGCTGAACATGCAATAGATTTTTCCATTCACAGCTTTCTCTTCCGAAGAGTTCTTGTTTCGAGTCCAATTCATTGTTTAATTTTCCCCCCCAAGCCCAACATGCAATAGAATTTCTCGATGCACAGTTTTCTCTTCCGAAGAGTTCTTGTCTCGACTCCAATTCATTGTTTCAATTTCCCCCCCCCATTCACAGCTTTCTCTGCTGAAGAGTTCTTGCCACGATTCCAATTCATTGTTTAAACTTCCCCCGCCAAAGCTCAACATGCAATAGATTTCTCCATGCACAGCTTTCTCTTCCGAAAAGTTCTTGTCACGACTCCAATTCATTGTTTAAATTTCCCCCCCCAAGCCCAACATGCAATAGTATTTCTCGATGCATAGTTTTCTCTTCCGAAGAGTTCTTGTCTCGACTCCAATTCATTGTTTAAGTTTCCCTTTCAAAGCCCCACATGCAATTGATTTCTCCATTCACAGCCTTCTCTTCCCAAAAGTTCTTGTCACGACTCCAATTCATTGTTTAAATTTACCCCCCAAGCCCAACATGCAATAGTATTTCTCCATTCGCAGCTTTCTCTGCTGAAGACTTCTTGTCACGATACCAATTCATGATTTAAATTCCCCCCCCCCAAAGCTCAACATGCAATAGTATTTCTCGATTCACAGCTTTCTCTTCCGAAGAGTTCTACCCCCGATTCCAATTCATTGTTTAAACTTCCCCCCCAAAAGCTCAACAAGCAATAGATTTCTCCATTCACAGCCTTCTCTTCCCAAGAGTTCTTGCCACGATTCCAATTCATTGTTTAAACTTCCCCCCAAAGCTCAACATGCAATAGATTTCTCCATTCACAGCTTTCTCTTCCGAAGAGTTCTTGTCTCGACTCCAATTCATTGTTTAAATTTTCCCCCCGCAAAGCCCAACATGCAATAGTATTTCTCGATTCACAGCTTTCTCTTCCGAAGAGTTCTTGTCACGATTCCAATTCATTATTTAAATTTTCCCCCGAAAGCCCAACATGCAATTGATTTCTCCATTCACAGCCTTCTCTTCCCAAGAGTTCTTGCCACGATTCCAATTCATTGTTTAAACTTCCCTCCAAAGCTCAACATGCAATAGATTTCTCCATTCACAGCTTTCTCTTCCGAAGAGTTCTTGTCTCGACTCCAATTCATTGTTTAAATTTTCCCCCCCAAGCCCAACATGCAATAGTATTTCTGGATTCACAGCTTTCTCCTCACAAAAATTCTTGTCACGATTCCAATTCATTGTTTAAACTTCCCCCCCCAAAGCTCAACATGCAATAGTATTTCTCGATGTACAGCTTTCTCTTTCGAAGAGTTCTTGTTTCGACTCGAATTCCTTGTTTAAATTTCCCCCCCAAGCCCAACATGCAATAGCATTTCTGGATTCACAGCTTTCTCCTCACAAAAATTCTTGTCACGATTCCAATTCATTGTTTAAACTTCCCCCCCCAAAGCTCAACATGCAATAGATTTCTCCATTCACAGCTTTCTCTTCCGAAAAGTTCTTGTTTCGAGTCCAATTCATTGTTAAAATTTCCCGCCCAAGCCCAACATGCAATAGTATTTCTCGATGCACAGTTTTCTCTTCCGAAGAGTTCTTGTCTCGACTCCAATTCATTGTTTAAACTTCCCCCCCCCAAAGCTCAACATGCAATAGATTTATCCATTCACAGCTTGCTCTTCCGAAGAGTTCTTGTCTCGACTCCAATTCATTGTTTAAATTTCCCCCCCCAAAGCCCAACATGCAATAGATTTCTCCATTCACAGCTTTCTCTTCCGAAGAGTTCTTGTTTCGACTCCAATTCATTGTTTAAATTCCCCCCACAAAGCCCAACATGCAATAGTATTTCTCGATTCACACCTTTCTCTGCTGAAGAGTTCTTGTCTCGACTCCAATTCATTGTTTAAATTTCCCCCCAAAGCTCAACATGCAATTGATTTCTCCATTCACAGCCTTCTCTTCCCAAGAGTTCTTGTCTCGATTCCAATTCATTGTTTAAACTTCCCCCCCAAAGCTCAAGATGCAATAGATTTCTCCATTCACAGCTTTCTCTTCCGAAAAGTTCTTGTTTCGACTCCAATTCATTGTTT